GATTCGTTTTCCATTGCTGGATAGACTGAACTCTGTCCATCTTTTTATCAGTTGGGGGACCCAGGGTTGTCTCCACTTTTGCCTATGTATGCTTCCGTTGCATTCTCACACTGAGCATGCAGGAGGGAGGGCATGTTCCTTAGAAACCTCACTAAACGCTACCCATTACTATTATTTTGTCTACCATTTTTTGAAGACTTTGCTATGTAGAGCACTTTTAGGCTTATAGAAAAATTGCATAGAAAACAGAGTTCCCACAGATCCCCCTTTTTGCGCCCTGCCCCATTTCCCCTACTTTTAACACCTTGTATGAGGATGGCACATTTGTTGTGGTTGATGATACATATCCGTATGGCTACATATTATTAACTCAAATCCATAGTCTCCTTTAAGGTTTGGTCTTGGTGGTGTATATTCTAGAGGAGTATATTTGACAAATGTATACTGACATGGATCCGTCATTGTAGTATCATGCAGAGCTTGCTGCCCTAAAAATCTGCTATGCCCCACCGATTCATCGCCCCCTCTCTAGTAACCCCAGCAACCACTGCTCATTCACCATCTCCAGAGCTCTGCTTTCCCCAGGATGTCACATAGGTGGAATCACCCAGTAAGCAGCCTTTTCAGACTGTCTTCTCTCAGCAATATGCACTTAAGGTTCCTCCATGGCTTTTCATGGCTTGATACCTCATTTCTTTTTAGTGTAAAATCATATTCACTTTTATTATTGCAAACTTTTCCCCAGCCGGAAATGCCCCCACCCTCTCTTGGGCTTTAGGAGCTCTTGCAATCGGCAGGTCCCATGTGGGAGCCTTGTTGTCCCTCCCGAGGCTGGCTCTGTCCCTTCTTCCACCACAGGACTGGGAGCACCTTGACCTCCTGGCACGACTGAGCCCCAGGCATTCCTGTGAGGAAGCTGCCCAGGGAAGCCTGTGGGAGGTGGCTGGCAGGAGGAAAGCAGGAAGGGGTGAGGGATGGAGGGAAGAGGTGTTCGGGTGGAGGCAGAGAGAGAGGAAAGCAGCTGCCCACATCTAAGAGGCACGTGGCTTCAGTCATTTTGCAGAAGTTGGTCTCAGCTCCGCTGAAGGCCTGGGAACAGGCAGGAGGTGGACGACTCGATCCTCCCCACTGGTCCTCTGCTCTGAACATGATGTGGGGCTGAGGGGCCAGGTTGTCAGGGTGACCCTATGCAGAGCTGGGTGTTTGCAGTCACGGGGCCATGAGGAGGGTCCAGAGAGGGTCACTGCCCCCTGGCCTGGGGGTGTAGGGCTCAGGACGGCCAAAGGGCGAACACAATGACTTCAGGCTGGTGAAGTGTAACCAAGCGAGGAGAGGTTAACAGAGGGACACCAACTGTGCCTGGCAGGACCCCAGGCAGTCGGTTACCTGAGGGCATGGCCCAAGGTCCCAGCCCAACCCTTAGTGGGGACTGCAGCTGGCGTCAGTGTCCTCTTGGGATGGCTCCTGCTGGTATTTGCTGCAGCTGGTCCCTGGCAAGTGGGGAGGCCGAGGTCACCCAGGTTGCTAGGCCATCAGTTTGCTTAGGTCAGTTCCAAACGTGTTTCTCCACCCAATGGTTGCTGAGCCCTTCCCAGCACTCTCCAAATGCCTTGTGGCACAGTAGGGCTGCCAGGCAGGGACAACCAGTTACCCAGGGGAGGCTTCCTTCCATGGTTGGAAGCCTCATTAAGCCTTCCATGGTTGTGGGGCTTGCAATGGCTCTCTACTCCCCTGCCTGCCTTGCCCCGCTTCCTACCATCCCCTGGACTTCACAGCTCTGGGTCCTTCCTCCCTGTGAGGGTCCTAGGCAGGCCTGAGCCCCCTCACTGCTGAGGGTAGGAGGCTTTATCTGCTCTGCCCTCCTTCAGACAGAGGCGTGGGTCATGGGCTGGATAGGGGACCTGAGACAGGAGGAGACAGGGAGAGAGGAGGGAGAGAGAGTATGCCTGGGGGATCACAGAAGCTACAGACTCTGTTCAGTCTGGGTTAGCCCGGGATTAGCTCTGGCCACCAGGCAGACCGGACATGTGTAACTTCCCAGGGTGAATCTTGCCATGAATGCAGCTTTCCCTGGTGCTACCGGAGTGCTCTCTCTGGGCCAACTCCACACTGTGAGAAGCCCAGGCCACCCAGAGAGGTCCAGAGGGGGTGATGCAGGTGCACCAAGGGACAGCGGCAGGCACCCACGCCGGCCACCTCGGACCATCCCCTGGGCCAGCCTCCAGGCAGCGCAGACACAGCAGGGCCAGGGACAGCAAAGGCACCATGCAGCCGTCCCAGTAGCCCACTGAGTCATGATTTCCCAGCACATCAGAGCTGCTGCTGGCAGCCTGCCCCTGGATGCAGGTTCCCCTCCTTGGGCCCCTCCTGACAAGCCCTCTGTTTTCTCCTGTGTGTGTCTCCAGTTTGTCGATGTCTGCGGAATTTCTATAGGAGTTGGCTTGTAAATGGTGGCTGATTTAGGACACTAAGTTTTGAGGTCACTTATTATGCAGGGATAGATAACCAATGTAGGATGTACTTGATCTTAAAATCCCTGAGTCCAAAGTTGCCCTGATTCTCTGTCTCAAGGGTGGTTGCTCAGCTTTTTTCTGGATCACCTGCCAAAAATAAGTCCCTTCCCACTCCCTCCCTCCCTCCCTCCTTCCCTCTCTCTCCTTCCTTCATTGCTCTCCTGGCATTATCCCAAGTTAGTTTCTACTGTTCCCACCAGAGAACCATGACTGACACAGAAATCGGCATAAGGGAGGAAATCGTGAGCCACAGTGGCCTAGGGGAAGAGGGGACTTGGGAACAAGCTCTCCTCAGAGAAGCAAGAAGCCCGCAGGTCCGGGGAGTCATAGGCCCAGCCACTGAAGCTGTGGCTCTGTGTGGTGTGTGAGACCGCCAAGGGTGCAGGGCCACAGTAGGGCCTGGCTGCTCCACAGGCATGGGACAGCTTAGAAGGGCAGCGGGTAAGCCCTCTGATTCCCTCTCGCCTGCCACAGGACGCTGTTCAGGACACCATGACACCAGACCTGGAGGCTGAGTCTGCAGGTTGCCAACCGTTAGCAGTGCTGGCTGAATTTGCAAACCCTGCAATAAAAGTAGGGTGTACTCTGGGAAAGATTGGAACTGCAGTTGTTTGAAAGTCAGTATCTGGGAGCATCTGGAGGACTCAGGGATCCTGGAACCCCACAGCTGAAAGGGGCCTGAGGTAGCCATCTCCCCTTGTTCCTAACCTGGGTGGAGCCTGCTGGCTCCCAGGACTGAAATCCTGAGAGGAATCTGGGAGAGAATAGCTTCGCCCAGAGGGAAATGTAGGAATTTCTTAGCTTACATACAAATTCTGGGGAATATTTGTGGGAATGGATTTCGAGGACCCTCTGCCAAGGACCTGCCCCAGGAAGATGAGCAGACCGTGGCCTGGGGCTGCTTAGCTCCCCACTGTTCAGGCCAGGATAAACCCTGACCCTAGCAGGCGGCCTGTGCTGAAGCCATCTTGGTGGGGGGAGGAGGGCTTGCCTTTGCTCCGCTGAGCATGGTTTAGATCTGCCCACTGACTGAATGTTCTCCCGTTGCTGTGGGCTCCCGCCAAACACTGCTTCTGACCACAGAATGTAGGCACGTGGTGGCAGTGAGGCCATGGGCTGTGGCTGGAGAGCCACTCACCGTGGACCCCAGGCGGCCCTAACAGAGACCACTGAGGTTCAGGGGCCCCAAGTGAAGGTGGGTGTTTGGTCATCCTTCCAGAGGAGGAAGCCTAACCTGCTGAGAACTGGCCAACGATGGGAAGGACAGGGAAAAGGCATTGGTGGAGCGACATCATAAACACCAGCAGGGACCCTATGACCAGAGTGTCCTAGCCTTTCACCAGTCCCCCTCCCTTTCTGAGCCAAATCCTACTAATAACTGCAAGTGCTAATAAAATGTCTTCCTATTGCCAGTGATGGGTGGAGTTACTGTGGGTGCACTGGTTGTAGAACATGGCAGTAGGAACTGGACAGAATGAGGGCAGGCATGCATGCCACCTGGAGAGGCGGCCTGAGCCAGTGGTGGGGCCTTTGACATGTTTGGGTGTGGGGAGGGGGGCGGGTGGGGGCGACAGGGGAGGGCTGTCATGCCCATCTTTGTTTTCACCCCTCTCCCTGGGGAGCTGCTCCTTTCTCCCTCTCAGGGGTTGCGTGAGGCCCTGCTGGCCACCCCTCACTGCAAGGGTTTGGCAACCCAGCTGGGTGTGTGAAGTGACTGGAGACTGGCCCTCCTGTGGCCGCTGTCCCTCCTACCCCTTCTGCGACCCCCTTACTCACTGCTCCTTCTCCTGACTGGACCCATACCCCAAAGCTGGATCCAGAACTGGGCCAAGTAGGGCGGCAGTTATGCGCCTCCCCTGTCTGACCTTGGGGGAGGTCTTGTGCCACCCTGCACAGAGGAGCTAGACTGGGTGGGCCAGAGAGGAATCTGTAGGGACACCCAGTGACAGCTTCACTGGGCAAAATGGAGGGCAAGAGGAGTGAGCTGCTTGCCCAAGCACGGTCTCCCTGCCCTCAGGAGTGCTGCTGATGGACGGCTGAGGGAGGTCAGAGGATGCCTCCTTCCAGGCACCCCAGCTCCAGGCCCTGGCCCCTCCCTGCTCTTGGGCGGCTGGAACCCAGGCTCTTACTCCTGCCTCTCTGAGTCTCCCTTCCTTCACTGGTAAGATGGGAGGCAGGGCATGGCTGTGCCCAGGTGTAAGACACCCAGTGCCTTAGCCGGCCTCTGCCAGGCCTTCTGCCCTCATGCCCGGGCCTAACACACCTCTGCACTGTCCCAGGTCTCTCCGTCTGTGGTTGTGCTGCTGACTCCCCAGACAGCAGGCACAGGGCACCCATAATCATCAGCCTGAGTGACTCCCAGGTGCTCAGGGCTCTGCCGACCTCCCAGTGATGGGGCCAGTGGGCTGGACAACAGGGCTGCCAGAACTCAGGGAGGCAGGGCATGTCACATAGGTTGTGGAAGGCGCCCCTCCTCCTGCCCCTTACTTATTAGCCAGGCCACAAGGTGACACGGGCTGGCTGTGCAAGGCTGGCCGTGGGCTGTGGGAGTGCTCAAGTGTGCAGGGTGGCTGGCAGCCTAGGCTTGGAATGGACAGCCTTCAGGACACAGTCCCCCCAGCCCAAGGGGGCTGCTGCCCTCCTCTCCGTAGGCTGGTCCCTGTCGGCTTTGGAGCGGAGGCATGGAAGCTTTTTGTCCTTTCGGGACCCCTGGTAAGGAGATGGGGTTGAGGGGCCAGTGAGGCTGGGGACCAGCTGCTGTCTAGGCATGATAGGCAGGTGTGCCAGGATCTCTATGCCCTTCCCCAGAAACTGCTCATGTTGGCCATGTCCAGGCTGCCCCAGGGGCAGCCACCAGGAGCAGGTGACTGCAGGATGGCTGTCCCTAGACAGCGCAGGGAGTGGCCATGGGGCTTGACCTTGCCCAGCATCAAGCAGCCCCCACTCAGCAGGGGTGCTGGGTCTTCCTTCAGAAACAAACAGGAAGGCTGGGTTAAAAGACTCCGACGACAAATGAGACCCATTGATGCAGGAGCTTGTGGGTGTCCCTTCCAGCATGTTTGTAGAGGACTGGAAGGGGCCCTCTTCCAATTTTATTTCCAATGGGAAAATAGCTTTAGACAAATTTTCTTGGGGGCCCTAAGGACTAATTGATACCTGTTTCCTGTAAAAATTCCAGACAAGAGAAGTTATAAAGAAGGAAGACATTGGTCTCTAACCCCTGCACCTGGACAAAATCATACTAAGATTTTGGTGTATTTTTTTCCACTCCCTATTCTGTTTGTATGTGGACTGGCCAAATGATTCTAATATCAGCAATAGTGGTATTAAAGGCTTGGGTTAAGCTCCCTCACTCCAGGATCTGTGCTGGGTTCTTCTCCTGCATTCCTCACTTTGAGGCAGAGAAACCTGGAGCCCAGAGGCTAATGAGAGCAGGACCCGGGCTGGCGGGCTTCCAGCCGCTGCTGTGCCCCGGCCCCAGCCCCAGTGCTCATGTCCCTGGCTGTGCGCGATATGTGAGATGGCTGTGACTTTTTTTCGCAGGCCACTGGCTTGAGGCCCCACAGTACCTAGAGGAGCCTCAGCACAGGGCTGGGCTGTACAGGGTGGGAGCTGCAGGGGGCAGGGCCAGCGGGCTGAGGCAGGGCAGAGCAGGGCCCTGACCCTGGCCGCCACCCTCCAGTTCCTGTTCCAGGTGCTGACCTTCATGAACTATATCGTGAGCTCTGTGTTTTGTGGGCACCTGGGCAAGGTGGAGCTGTCATCGGCAACCCTCTTTGTGGCTGTGAGTACAAGCAGGCCTGCATAGGGACATTCTCTCCTGGGTGTCTCCTCTGCTTTCTGGGCCAACAGCTGCAGTCATTGCTGGGACCCGAGGGCCTGCCCAATGGCCTGACCAGAAGGAGGGTCTCTGGCCCAGCAACACATCAGAGCTGCTGCTAGGCATCCTGCCCCTGGATGCAGGGCCCCTCCTGACAAGCCCTGTATTTTCTCCTGTGTATGGCTCCAGTTTGTCAATGTCTGTGGAATTTCCATAGGACTTGGCTTGTCCTCGGCATGTGACACCTTGATGTCTCAGGTAGGTGGGCCTCCTGGAGTGGAGCAGGGACAGAACCCATCCTTCAACTGCTGCAGAAATGGCAGGGGGTGGGAGCCCATGAAAGGCCCCGCAATGCCCCCCTGCATCTGGGAACCCATCCAACTGCCCCAGGCCCACCCCCAAGGTCTGGTGCTGTTAGCAAAGAGTCTGGGTGGACAGCTGAGAGAGCCGTGAGAGAGAGGCAAGGAGATAGTTCCCTAACTGCACAGATAGGATTCTTGTGCCCTTGGGAGCCCACAGGTCCATGGGGCTCAGCTTCCCTGGGGGTTCTGGATTCACGGTGGATTTGGAGACATGAGCTGGGTCCTGGCTGCCACTTACCAGCAGGGAGACATGGCGAATGCTCTTGTAGCCTCCCTTGCCTTCTCTGTGATGTGGGGGAATAACACCTTCCTTATTAGGCACTTTTAAAGAACTGGGGACAATGGGTGGACAGAGTCTGGCCCGACGTCTGGCACAGAGCTGGTACTCAGTAAATAGCTGCTTTATAATCTGGTGAGCAGGTTGAGCCCCTGCAGAGGAAGCTCCCTCTGGGCTGTAATCAAGGGGTGCCAGATGCCCGTACTGAGGCACCGACTGGTGGCCCCTGGGTCCTGGGTCCGTCCTACAGCATGATACTGCTAGCAGGTTGCCGCACTGGTTGGGCTCACCCAGGGGATGGAGGGAGGTGCTGAGGGTGTGGGCCTGACCAGGCCCGGGCTGTTTTGCAGAGCTTCGGCAGCCCCAACAAGAAGCACGTGGGGGTCCTCCTGCAGAGGGGCACGCTGGTCCTGCTTCTCTGCTGCTTGCCCTGCTGGGCACTCTTCCTCAACACTGAGCAGATCCTGCTGCTCTTCAGGCAGGACCCGACTGTGGCCAGGTACTGTCCGGCTCCTGCTGGCAAGCCAGGGAGGGAACTCCTAAAGAACTCCTAGGCTCCGTGCTTCTCTGTGCCACAAGCGCAGCTCCTTGGGGACAGAGGATTCCAGGGTTTGGGGCTCTCCAGCACAGCATGCTGCTCTAACTCTGACCAGCAGGGGGCAGACAAAATGGTCAGTTTAAATTCAGGAGGAAAGGAGCAGAACAGAATTCGCAGGTAATTTGCGTTTGTGTCCCTGCACAAAGCTGGGAGCTTCCCAGATGGCTTTTGAATAAATGAAGCAGGCGCTACCCCCTATTTCCAAACAGAAGGGAGGACTGAACCGATTTCTGATGGATTATAGTTCATGATTAATGTTAGAAATATTCCCTCATGGGAATACCTTGTTCCTTTTATATTATGTGCACTTGATTTGGTTCTTTCTTGATGAGATATAACCTTGCTTTTTGCCCTTACAAACCACATGCTCCATATGCTACTTTGAATTCAAGCTCTCTAGTCATGAAGCCTCACAGTTGGGGCCTTGGGCTCCTCTCCTGGCACCTGCCTAGCAGGTGGTACAGCTCCCCTGGCTGCGGTTTCACTGATCTTGCCGAGATCTGTGGGGCCTGGTAAAGCCTCTCTTCAAACTCAGAGCGCCTGGGATGTCCCAGGCGAGGAGGCACAGCTGGGGCGCTCCGGAGAGTCTGTTTGTCTTGCAGGCTAACCCAAGAATACGTGCTGATTTTCATCCCCGCACTTCCGGTAAGCGCTACTGCCAGAGTCGGGGGCGGGTGGGCTTACAGTCCCTTCAGTCCTGGCTTTCTGCCTTTCCGCTTACCTGTGGGGAGCCCCATCAGGCGTCAGGGACTTCCCACTGCACCATCAAGTTGGCTGAAGGGGCAATAGAAAAGTGCCCATGGCAGTTGGTGCAGATTGAATTTTTAAAAAGTAACGTAACATTGTTTTCCGATTAGAAAACCACTGGAGAATTTTGGAAAGCAAAGGGAAGAAAGATTTCAAATTACCTAGAATCTTACCACCCAGAGAGAACGTAGGTTAATCTTTCCTTACAGCGTTATTTCTATCCCTGGGTAGGTATATTCAAATACAGTTTGAAATGGGGCCAGTGTGTGTACACTGTGTTATAACTTGCATTTTCCCTTTCAAATATGCCATTAGTCTCTTGATATGATTGAATAAACTTCCACAATAGCCATTTCAAAGGCTATGTGGTATCCCACAGTTGCCATGTCAACCAGTCCCTATTTTTTAGGTATTTAGGTTGTTTCCAATACTTGCTGTTTTAAACAAGACTGTGATAAACATTCTTACAGAAAAGTCTTTGTGAACATCTGTAATGACTTCCTTAAGCTGCTTTATTACAACCAGAGTGGCTCTGCCGATAGCTTCTCATGCCGATCTGCATCCACTCTACCCCACCAGCAACCCTGGCAGCAGCAGAGTATTATTAATTTTTTTTCAATTGGAAATAAATTGTCTTACCATGCATTTTATTGCTAATGTTTAATCTTTTTCCTGTCCTTATTGATGATTTTGTTTTTCTTCTGTGAATTGCCCATATCCTTTGCTTATTTTAGTGGGTTAGTCTTTTTCTAATTATTGTTAAGTCTTGTTAAATGATATCTCAATCCTTTGTCATGTGTCACAGATATTTTTCAATTGTCACTTGCCTTTTGATTTTTCAATTTTTGACTTGAAGATTTTTTAATGTGTACACAGCAGATCGATAAATCCCACCCTTTATGATGGCTGTCTTTGATGAGCTTTAAAGCACTTAACCTACTGCAGATTTTATAAATATTTGCCTGTATATTCTTTGAACCCTTTCATGGTTTATGTTTTTAAATTTAAGACTTTAATTCAGCTAACAAACTTTTTCTAAGACTAATTATTGGGTATTTTCTCTTTTCTCCACTAATCCTTTAAGTACTAAATAAGCAGTGCACCTAATCATGTCAGTTCCTGATTTTTCTAGCCTGACCAGTGGTCTGTGTCTACTCCAGAATCCACGGCTACACTCTGTTTTGCTGAAGCTTAGTGCCAAGCCTCAGTACCCGGCAGGGCTGTCAGGGCTGGCCTTGCCAGCTGCAGCTCATCTTCCCATCTCTGGACCCTTTATCCTATGGACCAGGGAGTGATGTTCTTGAGGAGGGATCTGGGAAGGGACCAGTCGGGGTGACAGCAGGGTGCGCCTACCTGTAAGGTCAGTGCCAGGAGCTCTTTGAGACCTGCCTAGCTCTGGATTTCTCCCATGTCATGGAAACCACTTGAAAAGGCTGGTCTTTCCCCACTAAGACTCCCCTAGAAGCCATCCTTTGGCTCTTCAGACCAAGGTACAGTATCCTGTCAAACAGGGTCACTGGGTCTGGGTCAGGGAAAAACATCCTATGAAGCCACCACTCTGGCAGGTCCCTTATCAGAGAAATCAAGACCCTCCCATATACTGCTGTTGTGAAATTTAACTACCAATAACGTAATAATAATGGCTCATAATGCCTGCATAATGCTTACCTAACCCTTGGAATGCTTAAATGTGCCACAGTGCTGTTTTGTAAGCACTTTGCAATATTAACTTTACACGTGTATATCTGTATATAAATACTAAGTGTATATACATTATTATACACACACATACAGTATTAACCCCATTTTAGATGAGGAAACTTGAAGCACAAAGAGGTTAAGTAACTTTCCTAGGATCACACAGTTCATAAGAGGCAGAACCAGCATTTGAGCCCAAGCAGTCCAGTCCCAGCTCCATGCTCTTAATGAGTGCTATCTTGGAGAGAAGCAAAGGGGTGGGAAGGCACCGACGCTAGGCCAGGCTTTGGCAGAGGACAGAGTGAGCCCCTGTTTCACCGTGACATGCATGCCCCCTGTCTTCCAGATAGGGGAGGGTCCACAGCCCCAGGGACTTGAACCTGTTCAGCAGAGGGAACTGAACCAGTCCTGTTCAGTTCCCACCCCTCTCTCAGCCCAAAGCCACTCTCTCCAGCTGCCCAAGCTGGCTCTGGGGATTCGGGCTCTGCTGGGTCTTTCTCTGCACAGACTCTGGGTGGCCCTCCTAATCATGCTCTCTCTCTGAGAGCCCACACTTCCTGCCTGCTCATCTCCTCAGCTGCAGAGTGGGGGCCCTGAGGGGGCCTCTACCCCATAAGCAGAGCCAGAACACACAGCAGGGGCTGCAAGGACTTTAGGCCACCTGTGGGGCCCCAGACATACTTTGGTGAAGTGACTGCCCAAAACTCAGGTGTCTAAGCGACACCTGATGATGCTTGGTGTTTTCAGTAGTCATTTCATATTTATGTGTGTTTTCTTTTACACAGGTGGTTTTTCTCTACAGTCTGCTGGCAAAATATTTGCAAAATCAGGTACAGGTCCCTGGCTAGAGGGGTGGCCCCCTGCCACAGCACACTGCCCTGTTCCAGAGGGAAGGGGCTCCCCCTTGTACTGTGTGTGAACCTGCCATGTCATATCCTGACCTCTAGCACAGGGGCCAGACAGGAGCTGCATGTTTGCAGCCTCTTTCCAGCCCCTAGATGTGCCTGGCCTTGCCCACACTTCCTCAGTTCTGCCCACTCCCCCTTACCAAGGCCAATTTTCATTATTTCAGGGAATCATCTGGCCCCAAGTCCTTAGTGGTGCTTTGGGCAACTGCGTCAATGCCTTGGCCAATTACATCCTGGTCTTTGTGCTGAGCCTGGGGATCAGGTAAGCCCTGGAGCTGGTGTGCCTAGGGGGCCTGGTCAGGAAGCACTGCCCACTGAGCACCCCATATCTGATGGGCGGGTTAATCACCACCCTTGCCTCACCCACAGCAAGGACTGTGGAAGCTGCCCATGCTGTCCAGAAGGTGGGGGTCATGGGGAATTGGGGGAGTCCTGCTGGTCCCTGGGCAGTGGGGGACTCCTCACTAAAGAGACGGGGAGAGGAGCCCCTGGCCTCGCCATGCCACAGCCTGCCAGGAGAGGCCAGGAGTGGGGTTCTGGCAGGGTGGCCCCAGGATGAGGTCGTGTGCTAGTGGCACTGGTAGCTTCTGGGCAAGGCTGGTCCTGGAATTGGGTGCTGGCAAAGCACGCCTGAACTCCCCTTGGCCCCCATGCCGGCTTCAGCAGGGGGCCCCCCCCCAGGGCTGGAGTGGGCCTGCGGCTGCAGCCCTACTATCATCCTTCCCAGGGGCTCTGCCTACGCCATGGCCGCCTCCCAGTTCATGCAGACCATCGTCCTCTTTCTCTACATTGTCCTGAAGAAGCTGCACCTGGAGACGTGGGCAGGTGCAAAGGGCCACCCTGCGTTTAGGGGCTGCACAGGCGAGCACGGGATGGGCGCTGGCTGTGCACAAGGCGTTCATCTGGCTGGCCGAGGGCCCCACTGGAGCCCAGCTGGGGGAGCACTGCCTAGGGCCTGCCTCTCTTCTCCTCAGCGCTCCCTCCACCATCTGCTCCACCCCTCAGGACCCCCAAGCCCCATAGGCCTGTGGTCCCCCATCCGTGTGTCTTGGTGCAGAGCCCTGCTGGGGATGGGGACAGGCCCACGAGCTCGCCAGCTCCCTGATTGCAGGATGGCGATTAGAGTAGTAACAGGTGAAGACCTGAGAGCCAGCAGTGGGCCACACGCCCACCATTCCTGATGTTGGTTAGGCTTCAGAACACCTTATTATCCCCATGCTATTTACGTGGAGGAAATTGAGACAGAGAGGCTAATCTGCCCAGAATGCCAGGGGCAGCGCATGGTGAGTGGGGCCGATCCACTCCCAAGGATCAGGTTCTGCTTCCTGAAACCTGACTCTGTAAACCACGGGCCCCTCTTCCAGGCATGTCAGGAGCAGCCCTCTGGCCTGGGGGCCTCATTCAGGGGGCAGGGGGTATCCTGTCAGGCTGAGCCCCTCTCCAAGACTGCACAGCCCATCCATCTTGAAAGTGCTTCTCACATCCTTGATCTGCTGCCACCCTCCCCAGAGCCCTTTCCAGGGAGGCAGGGTAAAGAGGACTCACATTTTCAGATGAGGAAATGGTGACCAGAAAGGACAGGGTGGTGGACATAGTGGAGAATTCCCCCAACATGCACTGCCCCAAGGCACTGGCTGCTGGGTGAGCTGGTGCCCTGTCTCTGCCTCCTCCTCCTGATGGCCTGCCCTGTGCAACCTGCCAAGTGCCTGGCCCGGCTGAGCTGAGCCCAGGAGTGGGCAGTGCCAAAGGCTGGCAGGGGTCAGGCAGGGGGTGGGTGTGCAGGGTGGGCTGTTGCTCAGCTTGAAGGGCTTCTGTTCCCAGGCTGGTCCAGTCAGTGCCTGCAGGACTGGGGCCCCTTCTTCTCTCTGGCCATCCCCAGCATGCTCATGATATGCATCGAGTGGTGGGCCTACGAAGTCGGGAGCTTCCTCATAGGTATGTGAAGAGCTGGGCGTGGGGCCGCCCCCGATGGATGGTCTCCAGCCCTGCCCAGGCCAGATCTGCAGCTCATTCATCTCTGCAGAGGATCAGAAGCTCCCAGGAGGTCCACCAGACCTTTCATGCCCAGCTCCCAGCGCCACACCCAGTAGGTGGCCGAGTCAGCAAGGGAGTGAGAGACTGACAGAACCGTGCACAAGTGGGAACAGCTGGGCAGAGCCCACACAGCCTGGGGACCAGAAGGCCAGGGCAGGCGTGGCCCCGAGAGACCCTCTAGTCCAATTCTTGTCCCCCATTTACAGACAGAAACACTGAGCCCCAAGAACAAGAGACCCTCTTCAGAGTCCCACTGCGGCAGGGCCGGGACCGACTTCGGGGCTCCCCATGCTGGGGGGCCCTCCTCGCCCTCTCACCATGCCATATTCCCCAGGAGTCCAACCTGAAGGACAAACTGTAGGGCATGAGCCTGCGGGGACTTTTCTGACAACGGGGCAGGACTTTCCTGGAAAGCCGAGCTCCAAGCAGGAACGTTTTTTGTTGCAAATCTGCCCTTCAAAATCACTGTCCCCTGGGCCTCCCAAACAGAGGGGTGTCCTGTCTGTCCAGGGTCTGTTTGGGGGCCCCAGGGTTAGGTGCTTGCCCTGTGCCTTTCCCACAGGCCTGCTCAGTGTGCTGGAACTCTCCGCCCAGGCCATCATCTATGAGTTGGCCACCTTAATCTACATGGTGAGTCTCCACTTGGGTCACCTTTGAATGCCCTCCACACTGGCCCAGGCCTCTGACGGCCTGGAGGTGTCATAGGTCAGGGGTCAGGGTGTCATCCCAAATGCCACCTCTCTCTCCTGAAGGACCCTCCCAGACTTCCTGTTCCCATCAGCTCAGGCCCTGCCAGGCTCACACACAGCTGGCCCACAGAGGCTCCACCGAGGTAATAGTGAACAGTTAGAATTATTTGGAATTAATTAGCACCATTTAAAAATTGGGACATTTCACATCATAATCTGGACTTTTGCATCTTCTTGAGAAATAAGACACTCTCTTTAGCAACAGGCCCATGTTCCTGAACATCCTAGTTGGTGAGAGCTGGGGGTCCGTGTCCCCCAGGGGGTCCCTGCTGCTCCTTCCTCTCCCCGCAGAGAGATGCGTTGTCTCATGCCAGTCATGTAAGCATCTGTCAGCCTCCTGAGGGCATGCAGTGTGTGGGACCCCAGGTTTAAGCAAGGGATTTGCAAAATTCCACACTGGCAAGCTAATTTATAAGGCCATTCTTATTTCCATGTGAATTACCTTTTCCAACAGGGTGTTTTCTGGGATACTTCAGACCACATTCACCTCTTTCAAACACGTTCATTTACTCCTGAGGTTTAGGCAGCGCATTAGTGATGGCTGCAAGGCCAGACCACCTGTGATGTTCAGCAAGTGGGGTGGGGTTGACTCTCACGAGGGGTACCCCCACCGCATCTCCCGACCTTATATTCCATGGCCTGTCGCCAGCAGCCAGGACTGCCCTGCCTCCCCTCGCTGCCTCCCTGGACCCATTGTCTTCTGCTCTCCTGCCTTAGGCCTGGTGGAGGACTGGAGGCTGCTCCACCCCAAGCCCGGGGTGGCAGATGGCTGCACTGACAGCACGTTCTTACCTCTGATCCCAGATACCCCTGGGGCTCAGCAATGGGGTCTGTGTCCGAGTAGGAACGGCTCTGGGGGCTGCAGATACTGTGCAAGCTAAGCGGTCGGCCATCTCCGGCGTACTCTGTACAGGTGGGTGGGGTCCCGGGGGAGGCGGACTTGGAAAATTGGAGAGTCAAGGGTGTGAGCCAGGGAAGAAACCTGTTATGCCTGCTGACCCACAGCAGCCCCTGCGGATGAGTGGGCAGTCACCCCCCCAGATACACCTGAGCCCCTTCCCCACCCCCCGATCCCCTAAGATCGCTCTTGCCTGCTGAGCCCCTTCCCAACCCTCCCCTGCTGCTGGGTTCTGGGCTGTCCTGTGGACAGTTCGCCAGTTCCCACCACTCACCTTAGCACGACCCTGGGAAGGTCCTTCCAGCTCTGGGGGGCAGGGAGGATGTCCTTCTGCACGCTTGCCCTCCCAGCATCCCCAGGAGCTTGGCACCTGTCCACCTGCCCCTTGGATCTCCTTTGGGGATCTGCACTGTGAAGCTGACCAGATTCAGTCTATTCTCTGGAGAGCAGTGGTTTTCAGGTGGCACCCCCTGGGAGCCATACTGAAACACAGGGCAGTTTCTGGTTCAGCAGGTCGGAGATGGCAGTCTGGGAGTGTGCATTTCTCACAAGTCACCAAGCGACACTGACAGTCCAGGGACCCCACTCTGAGAACCACTGGGGAAGGGGCAATGCATTTGTTATCCTACGGGAGGACCAAAGAGTGCCTGAGTCCCTGCGAACAGTGATGCAGAGGACCCCAGGCTCCTGGGGCAGAGGGTCAGGCTGATGGGCACTCACCGCGTGGGGCTGCCCCGTGGCGGGGTCGGCCGTGCTCCCCCTTGTCTCTTCCAGTTGGCACTTCCATGGTTGTGGCCGCCCTGTTGAGCATCCTGAAAAATAACCTGGGGCATATTTTCACCAATGATGAGTAGGCAATCCGTTTTCTTCAATGACTTCTGGGGAATGTTGGGGTGGTCACGTCACATGCCTGGCTCGGTGCTGGGCCCAAAGGAAGCAGCAGGACTAGCCCTGACTTTGCTCTCCCTGGAGGAAGCCAGCATCTAGGCTTGTCCCTGCAGGCCCCAGCCTCCAGTGCTAGCCTGTCCACAGACACGATGCTAACCAAAGGGACATACAGAATGGTGGCGTCCCCCGTGAAGTTACGAAGACCCATGGACATAGAAACATAGGGCTAGGAGTGTCAGTTAGGTTGTATGGGGTAATTACCTCTGTTCTGAAATCTTGGAGGAGGTGTTGGCTTTGGGCTATATGCGGGTCTCTAAGAACAGAGTCATACCTTAGTGCTCCAAAAGAATGCTCTTTCTGTTTCTTCTGCAGAGAAGTCATCGCGCTGGCGAATGAGGTCTTGCCGATTTACATCACCTTTCAGCTATTTGAGGCTCTCAGTGTGAGTACTGCTCTGATACAAAGCCTGACTTCCCATGTTCCTGGGCCCCCTGAGGCCTCATAGGCCTGTGGAGGTTATCATTAGTACAGATAAAGGGCTAACTGTACAGTAAATGCCCAAAATATTTGCTCATATTAGTTCTACTATTATTCAAAGCAATGACTGCCCTTCTCTTCTGTGATTCCAGCAAGCTGAAAGATGAATGCAGATTAGTAAAAAATTGATAAATTGCACCAGTGTATACAACTCACAAATCTTTTTCTTTCCTATTTCTCATGAGCATGAGCCAGGGCCCTGATTCATGCCCCTGACTGGTCAGGGGCTCAACAGTAACCATAGCCTGTGGCCACAGAGCAGGGACATTTCTGAGGAGCGAGTCAACCTGAATACAGCAGGACCTGAGTGTTCTGCTCCTCTGACCACTAAAGAGGGCAGACCCTGTTTAGCACAGATTTGAATGATGTGGATCTTTAAAAAGCATGATGGAAAATGAAGAAAACACTAACATCTCATTTTATAGGCAGAATTTGAAATCTTGTTTTCTGCTCGACATCATAAGTTCTTCAGGAATGTTATCACTGCAATTATGGAGGGTTTTTCCAAAAGACAGTGCACTCTAATCAGTTGATTTATGTATCCTACTATTTGCCTCTGAATCTATGGGCATTCAGAAAGCAATCTACCTGCAGCATATGTTCTTAGCCTCAGCAGGACTGCTTCCTCTAGGCTGTGTTTTTATCATCACATCCAAAGCTTTTATCAAGGAATATTAAAAGAAACTACCTTATGGAGTCTATTATTGCTTTTGTCATAGGATATTGTTAAGGACACTATTCATATTTTTTTCTCTAGCTCTGAGATGAGACCACAGATCAGAAATTCTTTCAGTTAAAGGTTGGGAATAGCTTTGCCTTTTTAAAGGAATTAAGTATGCCTCCCCTCCAAAGGGCAGCACTTCTCTGCTCACTTTGGCTACCAAGAAACCCAGAAGCAAATTTACAGCTAGCCACGGTAAGGGGCCTTAGAGCTTGTTGTCTGCATCCTATTTTTCCTCCTGGCTATATTTATATTATTTTTAATTTATGTTTTCCATGGCCCTTTTAAAAAAATTTTTATTAAGATATGATTGATATACACTCTTATGAAGGTTTCACATGAAAAAACAATGTGGTTACTATATTTACCCATATTATAAAGTCC